GAGAAACAACAACAATTCCATGGAGTTTTTCCTGACAACCTTCCAGTTGACACTAATTCCCCAATGTTTTTCTATAAACTCGATTTCTTTGACATCACCCTGTTCCGGTATATAGATGATGGCTTTGCCATAATCAGAACTACCAAACATGATAACCTTCCCTGGTCTAAAGAGACATTCAATCTTTTGAAACCATACATTGACATTAAACTTCATCAGATTTATGCCTCTTGTCAAAGTCTTAATATCACTATCGACCATGGTAACAATGGTCAACAAGTAGTTATGCTCGACCTTCTTATTTCTGTCGATAACAATACTAGTCCAACCCGATTTACTATTGCTCCTTTCGACAAACCCGTTAATAAACACCTATACACTGATCCAGATACATACTACCCTAGGAAATATGTTTTTAACTGGATTAATGGTGAAAACCAAAGACTAATTAGAAACTCTAGTCAGTCTTCTTTCCACACCCATGCCACAGCACAATTTGCCCAACATCTTCTTAATAGAAACTACCCCTCACATGTAATCAACAATCAACTCAGATTACACTCATACGATGAACGGAATACTCTTTTGTACCCGGCACCCTCGTCTCAGAAAAATGATACTATTATCAAAAAAATGTTCCTCCATAACATCCCTGGACGTGACAAACTTGAACAGTTTGGACGTATGATTCTACGAGATATCCATACCCTCAAACCTGCCCGTTATGAGAATACACAAACCACATGGATAATTTATAAAGGCTCCAACCTGCGCAACCAGTTGAACACCTATAATAAAAAGATTCTCCAATCCGCCCCAATAAGGAGTCGATTGTAGATGACTAGTTCAATGAGATCTCTTCTGTATCTTATATTATAACTAGCCCTCATCCCCGACAAAATAGGTCCGGTTTTTTAGACTTAGTAAGTTTTCTTTAGATTTTTTAGGAGTTTTCTCAGGTTCATGGTATAGGCCAGAGCTGACCCTCCTTGACCCTAACCCTAAAAATAACCCTAAAAGAAAACCCTAAAAATAACCCTAAAAAAACCCTAAAATAGAACCCTAAAAATAGACCCTAAAAATAGATACCTAAAAATAAATTTTGTCACGTGACCCTAGTTAAGGAGTAGAAAGCCACAAATAACTGGTTTGCTGGCTCCAAATAAACCTGTTTGCTAGGTCGACGCGTACCACGGAAATGATACATATATCCTAGGATTTTTTCGGACTTAGACCTTCCTTTTTTAGTCTAACCGTTCGGATAAATTATTTGTAATCTATACTTAGATTAATTTTAGATCTTACGTCATAACTGACTCAATCTGAAACAATCTAGGAGTTTCCGGATGAGACCCGATTTGGATAATGATTCCTTTTTGGGTTACCGTTCACCCTCTCTCCCGAGAGTCCGAGAGGCGTGAAAAAAGTATAAAAAGAAGACAAGGCTGAAGAGAAAAGATCGAAACAAGCACTTGTCCCGCAGTCTTCTTTCTCACTCTCAGTCACTTTTTCCACTTTTTCACAAAAAAAACCCATCCTACTTATCCTAAAATAACCCTAAAAATAACCCTAAAAATAAAAAAACCCTATACCCTAAAAATAACCCTAAAAAAAACCCTAAAAAATAACCCTAAAAAAAACCCTAAAATAGAACCCTAAAAATAGACCCTAAAAATAGATACCTAAAAATAAATTTTGTCACGTGACCCTAGTTAAGGAGTAGAAAGCCACAAATAACTGGTTTGCTGGCTCCAAATAAACCTGTTTGCTAGGTCGACGCGTACCACGGAAATGATACATATATCCTAGGATTTTTTCGGACTTAGACCTTCCTTTTTTAGTCTAACCGTTCGGATAAATTATTTGTAATCTATACTTAGATTAATTTTAGATCTTACGTCATAACTGACTCAATCTGAAACAATCTAGGAGTTTCCGGATGAGACCCGATTTGGATAATGATTCCTTTTTGGGTTACCGTTCACCCTCTCTCCCGAGAGTCCGAGAGGCGTGAAAAAAGTATAAAAAGAAGACAAGGCTGAAGAGAAAAGATCGAAACAAGCACTTGTCCCGCAGTCTTCTTTCTCACTCTCAGTCACTTTTTCCACTTTTTCACAAAAAAACCCATCCTACTTATCAAAAACCCTCAAGTTCCTCTCAAGATGGTCAATACTCACGCTGCCCCCGGCCCCTCCTCATCGTCAAGCTCTGCCCGTGGAAACCAGGATGTCTTCCAAGTCACCCCAGGTCAACAAGTTCCAGGTCAGGCTATGATCGATGCCGATGCCGAGATGGGAGGAGGGACTGCACCGGCAGACCTTCCCACCCTCGAGCAGCTCGTCGCTCGTCTCAATAATCATATTGGGAATAGTGACACCTCTCTGAACCCTGGTTCCTATCTTCCCTCTTTCAAAAAGGGAACGATGACTGACAGGGTTGCCGCAGACATCTTAAGCAAATTTGTCAATAAGGCGGCCATTCTTTTGGATAAAATCCGAATGGCTCAGAAGATTCTGCGTGAAGTCAACGCTAAGACACAACTAGGCTATTGGGGACATCTTACTGTCAACAATAACCGTGTTACCCTGTCAAAGGACGTCCTTGCTACACTTAGCACTTCGTTTGACAATTTGTTAGTATCGGCCATTAAAGCTGACAAAGCAAATATCATCCAACAATGCCAAAGTGAACTCAATGACACCCTCCCCAGACAGCTAGCGGACACCCTTTCATCTGCCCTTGTGGCCGTTGAAAACAATTCTCATCTGAATAATCTGGGTAAAGACTTCACCTACAAGCTGATTCGTGCCACTGCTATTGAGTTTTCTGCTCAAGTGCAAGTATTACGAGCCACTGCAGAATTCCAGCAATTAAATCTTGGATTAAAGGTATTCAAGATAATTGTTTCCCTTTGGTTTGCTCCACGATTAAATATAATCTATTCTAAGATCAACTCTACTTTCCCTCTAGAATACCAAGAAGGACGCCTCGAAGAAGAAGCCAAGCAAACCCAAGCCATCACGTCGACAGAACGACACCAACAAATACAAAGGACCAAAAGGCCCATCGATGGCGAAGAAAGACAAGAAGAAAGGTGGTCCCCCAACGTCCTCCAAGAAAACCACCCATGTAAAGAAAGGAAAAGGCCCCGTGAAAAAAGCCCCATCCCCTCAGAAACAAAAAAAGTAGATTTACATGATTTTGTCGGAGTCAACAATATGTCTTCCGTACAATCCATCCCCCATGATATTCTTCAAGTCTTAAATAAAGGAGTCAATTTCAATATACATAAACCTCCCAACTATGTTGTTCTGAGCTCAGAACTAAAGAAATTGCGTAACCAACTTTGTAGGAATATTAATAAACTAGATATTAATCTAGCTAATGTTCTGTTCGATGCTACAAACCATAATTAATAAAAAAAAAAAAAAAATCCTACAGAAATCTAATGACCTCGAATAAATTATCATTCCCTGCTGATAAAAAACTTAGGACTCACTATTATGGACCTAGACTGGTATACATCCCAGACTACGAAACTTCTAACAGATACTTCCTGTTATGTCCCGTGCCCTTCGTTCTCCATTGACAATATGATAAACTCACTCTTTTCTATAGTCAATCTTAGTCCTCTTAGAATTAAAAATAAATTACTCTCAGAAGCTAAACTAATAAGAGATAATGTTAGAACCAATCCTAACTTCTATACTGTCCCAGTTATGTATCTTTTACCTAAAATACATAAGTCACCACCCGGTGCTAGACCTATAGTCCCCTCTTTCCCTTGGATAACACACACTATTAGTCAGTTTGTCGATAGAAACCTGCGCCCTCTACTTAATGAGTTCCCTAGAGATCTTCCCGACACCCCCACACTAATACGTTATCTAGAAAATTTTGACTTTGATCCTTACTGCCATTACTCATTAGCAGCTTTCGACGTCATCAACATGTATGGTAACATCGACTTTGAAGAAGCCAGAAAAACCATACTACACTACTTCTGCAATCATTCTTACAATTATGAAATCCAAATATGTCTGAAACTCGCAGAATGGGTTAATAAGAACTGCCTTGTCTCTGACCTTACAAATAATTACAGACAAGTCAAAGGCTTAGCTATGGGAACTCCCATGGCACCCACCATAGCCCGCCTCTTTGCATGCTGCGTAGAGAAACAACAACAATTCCATGGAGTTTTTCCTGACAACCTTCCAGTTGACACTAATTCCCCAATGTTTTTCTATAAACTCGATTTCTTTGACATCACCCTGTTCCGGTATATAGATGATGGCTTTGCCATAATCAGAACTACCAAACATGATAACCTTCCCTGGTCTAAAGAGACATTCAATCTTTTGAAACCATACATTGACATTAAACTTCATCAGATTTATGCCTCTTGTCAAAGTCTTAATATCACTATCGACCATGGTAACAATGGTCAACAAGTAGTTATGCTCGACCTTCTTATTTCTGTCGATAACAATACTAGTCCAACCCGATTTACTATTGCTCCTTTCGACAAACCCGTTAATAAACACCTATACACTGATCCAGATACATACTACCCTAGGAAATATGTTTTTAACTGGATTAATGGTGAAAACCAAAGACTAATTAGAAACTCTAGTCAGTCTTCTTTCCACACCCATGCCACAGCACAATTTGCCCAACATCTTCTTAATAGAAACTACCCCTCACATGTAATCAACAATCAACTCAGATTACACTCATACGATGAACGGAATACTCTTTTGTACCCGGCACCCTCGTCTCAGAAAAATGATACTATTATCAAAAAAATGTTCCTCCATAACATCCCTGGACGTGACAAACTTGAACAGTTTGGACGTATGATTCTACGAGATATCCATACCCTCAAACCTGCCCGTTATGAGAATACACAAACCACATGGATAATTTATAAAGGCTCCAACCTGCGCAACCAGTTGAACACCTATAATAAAAAGATTCTCCAATCCGCCCCAATAAGGAGTCGATTGTAGATGACTAGTTCAATGAGATCTCTTCTGTATCTTATATTATAACTAGCCCTCATCCCCGACAAAATAGGTCCGGTTTTTTAGACTTAGTAAGTTTTCTTTAGATTTTTTAGGAGTTTTCTCAGGTTCATGGTATAGGCCAGAGCTGACCCTCCTTGACCCTAACCCTAAAAATAACCCTAAAAGAAAACCCTAAAAATAACCCTAAAAAAACCCTAAAATAGAACCCTAAAAATAGACCCTAAAAATAGATACCTAAAAATAAATTTTGTCACGTGACCCTAGTTAAGGAGTAGAAAGCCACAAATAACTGGTTTGCTGGCTCCAAATAAACCTGTTTGCTAGGTCGACGCGTACCACGGAAATGATACATATATCCTAGGATTTTTTCGGACTTAGACCTTCCTTTTTTAGTCTAACCGTTCGGATAAATTATTTGTAATCTATACTTAGATTAATTTTAGATCTTACGTCATAACTGACTCAATCTGAAACAATCTAGGAGTTTCCGGATGAGACCCGATTTGGATAATGATTCCTTTTTGGGTTACCGTTCACCCTCTCTCCCGAGAGTCCGAGAGGCGTGAAAAAAGTATAAAAAGAAGACAAGGCTGAAGAGAAAAGATCGAAACAAGCACTTGTCCCGCAGTCTTCTTTCTCACTCTCAGTCACTTTTTCCACTTTTTCACAAAAAAACCCATCCTACTTATCAAAAACCCTAAAAAACCCTAAAAAACCCTAAAAAACCCTAAAAACCCTAAAAAACCCTAAAAAACCCTAAAAACCCTAAAAAACCCTAAAAAACCCTAAAAAACCCTAAAAATAGACCCT